AACATCCCCCGGACCCCCCTAGTATTGTTTGGTCACCATTTCCACAGCCCCACCTAAAATATTTTCCACCAGCCGCCACTGGTACAAACCGTAGAGTTGCTAGCATGGCTGTAGACTCCTATTTACATCAGACTAGTATAACCAGGGAGCTGAAAATCTGTAATAAAAGCGGAGATTGTCTTTAATCTCCCTCCTTTGTGAATCTATCACGTCCGTTGTCGCGAAGAAATAAATTATACCGCAGATAGCAAACACCGAGGTCATGTGATCCCATTAGTGCTGGGAAAATCTGCATTTGGTTGTTGTACTTTTTTCGTGGTGTGCAAAGTTTTTTGTTTACTCTTCTCCAACTTTTTGCCTTTTTTTCCAGTTAAGAAGTATAGAGGCTGCATTGGAAAATATAAATAAAGTTTTGACAGTATTTTGGGTGCAAAATTCGGTTGGCTCATCTGGCTACACAGCATGGAGATCCATTTGCACATGAGAGGCACAGAAACAAAATGTCTTTGTGGGAATTATACGAACAGTTAAACATAATTAGGCTTATATAAAGTAAGATTTAAACACAGACAAAGGGGGAGCTAGGGGCTTTTCTAAATCAAATGAGTCCCTTGGTTATACAAGTTTCATGCTAATGTGGCTTCGGACTTGTTTTTATTATGATATAAACTGTAGGGAAATTGTATTATAATAGAGTAAGATAGCCATTGGTCCTTGGTCCCTTTCACATTGCATTACCTCATGTCTCTTCTCACTGCAGCAAATCCTGTATGTCCTCTAGTGTTTCTGTCCGTGTGTGTCTTTCTCTGTATGATATGTTAATGTCATGTAATTTCGCCGGACACACAGCTGAAGATGTCTCCTGCTGTGCCTGTTTGAAATTCATCTTTTTCTTCCTATCAAAGTAAAGACATCATTAGAAGTCTTGTGGATGTAAGTTGACTCTAAGCGGCTTTCTCTGCAAACAGCTCATAAATGGAAGAGATGGAGCCCCTGAAACTAATGATGGGGATAATTTGGTATAACTTAAAGTAACAAAACATGCGATAGCCTGAAGATATCACACTTTAGTAAAGCTTCAGATTGGAGTTCCTTTGCCTGACTAGTTAGCCGGTTTTATATATTTTTATCTTTAATGCCTTATCTTTCAGACCTATTGCTCTATGTAGCGAATAAAAGGTAACTGGGTTCAAACATGGCTTAGCAGATCGAGCTTGGTGTTGCAGAGCTACCTATGTCATCTGTGAGTAATATTTCAAAGAAAAGATAAAGGCGGCAGGAGAATGCGTCACTTCAATTTCAGTTTCTGTTCGACAGAAGTAATTGGGATTGTGTTTGTATTGAGTCTTTTCTTATTTCAAGTACTTGCTCTTCAACCAAATTCGTCAATATAAAGACAGCATAAAGAAGCATTTTGTCAGCCAGAGAATAAAAATCATTTTAATGCGCTGTCAGGTTTACAATAAAAATATAATTATGGTTTTGAAAACACAAAAAAAGAAAGAGACTGGAGAATCAGACTGTAAGATTCACACTTTGTTTAAATTCTCAGTTTTCTATTACTCTTCTCATTGTGCCATGATTAATTGGCTTTTATTCTAGTCTTGCATATTTAAATTATTTCCAGGGTAGGAATGCTTCACAGCCCAAACCCACAGGTACTTTAACTAGATATCAGACATGGTTATGAAAGCAATTTAAATGTTTCAGTTCACGTTCCTCGAAGGTTTAACACCAGCAGTAAAAACAGAGTCTCTCCTTTTGTAGAATAAATGTCTACTTTGTGTTTTAATGAATCTGTAGTTCAGGGTAAGTGTTCGTCTGATATATTTGTCTTTTCAGCACCAATATGATCTCATTCTGTACTTTTAGTGTTCTGCTGACAGTTCTCATTGTGTTTCTTGCTATCCTCCTGGGATTAGTGACAGCGCTATTTCCGTGTATTATAAATCATCTCTATTTCCCATGTTCACAGGCCAGTCGACAAAGCATCCAAATGTTTGCAACAGTTCACTGATTACCAAACAGCCTGACAGGCCGTCGTGTCGCTCTGCTTCTGGTCCGAGCTCTGCGGGGCTGATTGTCGGGGAAGCGGCGAGAAAGGTTTTCAGCCTCAATGACTGCCAACTTACAAATAGCTCCCTGTGGTCCAAAAGTGATGGAAGGTCAATTCAGTGGATCAAAGAAGCTCAAAGAGAGTACGCCTTGTGCCCCTATAATTTTGGGGGTATGAATCTATTTCCTGACCTTTGCTGCGTGTTATCCTCTCATTACTTCTAACCTTCACTGCCTCTCATCATCGCTATTCCTCTGTCTGCTGCACACCACGTGTAATGATACAGAGAGAACATCATAAAGAGGATCCCAATCAGAATCAGAATACACAGAGGGGAAATGTACATGTGTTACAGCAGAGAAGACCCAAAGACAGCTTAATGTTAACTAAGAAGCATGCAAAAAAAAATATTAAAGATAAAGAAATTAAAGAAATTACACAATTTACAAAATACACATCCTGTAACAGTTCTGATAGCAGCCAGATATATATTGCACAGTTATTAACGGCATATATATATTGCACATATTGCACATGGTTGGTATTTAACAACAAAGGATGTTATAGTCTTTTTAGAATTAGAAAAAAAGGATATGTTTTGTGTTTTCGCCTAAATCACAATCTGTCGAGGCTTCTTCTTCTTTTTGGTACATATTATTTTCAATGTCTGAGGCTCCCAGAAATATAGTTTCGTCCATTTGTCAATTTGAAGTGACGTGATTGGAAGGAAGGTGTATTTTGGAGAGCGTAGGATGCAGAGAGCCAAGAGTCAAACCTAATATTGAGTAACATGTTTTTAGAAGTGCCATTTTTATCTCAGCAGCACAGTTTGTAATTCTTCTTCCTCTTCTGGTTCATCGCTTCATATGAGAGCTGCAAGATGTACTGTATCAATGTAGTATCGACAGGAGGTCCTGAGACTAGATATTATGTGAGATGTTGGTTATATAAGCAATGTAACTTCAATGATATCTAGTCTTTGGCTCTCAAACTGCAGTAAATGGCAGTTGTATGACCTTACTATTCTTTTTTAGCTCAACCTGATTGGCATTATATTCATGGTGAGCACATTTATTTCTCAGAGACCATATTTTCCACCCCTGGTTTGAATCAAATACACTTTGTCGACATCCTCGTGCAAGTCCATGTGTGGCAATTTTACAAAAGCCCTTTCATTTTTCATCATGACAGTAGCCCCACAGGTCTGTAAGGAAAAGTTTATCTCAGTTTGAGTTGGGAGAAGTTGGCTGGCCCTGCCCTCGACCCCCCCACACACCTCTGGGACAAACTGTAGGGCCGACTGTGAGCGGGCCCTAATCGACAAAAATCAGTGGCCCTCCCAAATAACTCTTGCAGCTGAACGGCAGCCAATCCCTGCAGACTGGTTTTAAAATGTGCTGGAAAGCCTTCCCAAAGAAGTGGTTGTTGTTATGAAAGCATATTAATGCTCATTGTTTTGTATTTTAATGTTCTTAATCACATTAAGGAGTAATATCCAGGTGTCCACACACTTTGTTGGTATCCAAATACCTTTGGCCTTGTAAAAGGTAAATTATGTAGCTTTAATTATCCTATTTTCATATACACAGAATACTGAACAGCTTTTCTCCCCATACAGCGCCACTAGACTGATTTATCACATATTGTATGTGATCAGGCTGTGTCCTACCTCTAATTATATTACCCTCAGTAATTGTGTTTACATCCTATTATTTACTCTATTTTGTTAGGTGACAGCGGGCCATGCAACACTTGCAGCGCTGGAATTACATCCAGGTAACTTTTATTTCGCCTTGTCTCATTAGGTCACATTCTTTCACTCGCTTTAATTCAAAGCTGTTATCAAGGTGGAGGTGGCTTTACTAGATTTGTGTTACTAAAATGGAGAAGACTGCTGAGTCCTTTGAGCTCTACCAACTCCTGAGAGAAATATATACGGCTCTTTAGCTGCTAAACGCTCCATTGTTTTCACCAGGTAGTCACTATCTTTGTGTGTCTGTTGTTTGTTGCTTTTCAGGTTTTCAGAGTATTTGTCACTGAAAACAGCTGCCTGCTGGGACCGAAAACAACACATTGAGTGCAGGGAGAGTGAACCAAAACAGTAAAGTTGTGGGCTTGACAGCTGAACAATGGGCTGAAACTCACTATAAAGCGCTGTAAAGTTTAGGGGTGCTGCAAACTCAGGTGATAATTCACAGTTGATTCATCACTGCTTGCTACCACTTAAAAAAAGTATAAAATACAGCTGCTTTAGATGGAGAGAAATGTGAATAAGAACACTTCTCTCAATTGTTACCAGGGCTAAATTGCCTGTGCCAACGACAGCACTTTCAGTATATTTTTTTGCACATGAATCAATATGAAACAATGCACCTCTTTTTGACTTATATAAGAACTGCTTTTGAAGACATGTTTGGTTGTGTACTAACTTCCAGTAGAATAGAAGTTGCTGTTTATTCCTTCCTGTCTTTACTTCTTAGAGGTCTGATCTCAGTGCTTTTCTGCTTTTTGTTTCAGTCTAATTTTAGTGCACTCCCTACAGTGTGATACCTTTGCCTCCGTTTGAGCTGCACAAACTGCTGCGTCTAAATAAAACGCACTTGAAACTGCCAACGTGTCAAGCACACTGCAAGGTGGTGTTTAGCCGGACAAGGACTCCCACCCACCTTATGTTGTTTCCCATTGAAACAGTATTACTGCAGTGTCATGACGGGTCAGCCCGGTGATGTCCACTCCACACGGCAGCAACTCAAGCACCAGGCTCTGAGCCAGCAGAGGAATGTCAACTAACAGCCGAGCGAGCATCCAAGGATAAGTATCTCTCGCTGTGGTCACCTTTAGCGGTCAAATTTGTGCGTGGAAAGTCGCTTTACCCTCTGCGGACTTCAGTGGCAGTGCTGTTATCTGTGGCTGCAGGTTTGCCCCTTGGGGTTGAAAGTCTTCGCCCAGGATATTGTATTCTCCTGTGGCTCAGCTCATGGTTTGTGTAGTTTGGTTATCTGATAATCCTTCACACAAGGGCCCCTATATGATGTTTTATACAATGCTATACTTTGAGGCTTTACAGTGGATTACATGGAGAAACAGGGTTGGTAACCTTTCAGCTCTTAATCTCTACAGTATGAGCTTTAAGGGGACTTTTTTTGCATTTGGAGGAGGTTTTTTTCCAAAACACTACACATCCATTAAGAAAAGCTTTTTGTGACCCGTAATGTATTATTTAATAAGTCCAAAACCCTATCCTCTTAAACATTTTTTATTTATTTAAGTAAAGGCCTTAAGTGTGACTTTTAATTGTGATGATAATAGAATTGGCTCCAATGGCAGCAATTATTTTTTGTGCAGCATCTGCTGATTGTACCCATTTGCACAATTTACCCATACACTAACAGGAGGTCATGAATGGCCAACTAACAGTATAAGCACCACTCGGATGCTTTTACTTTAAAATAATGTTATTCATACCTGTAATATATTTAAAGAAACTGTTATTTAGACTGGAGAAATATCTTTTTAATCTTCAGTATACGGTCATGTTCTAACAGAGACATGTTCTCAGTCTTATGTTTGTTGCAACAATCTATATTGAGGGCAAGGAATAGGGAAAAAAAGCTGAACGCTGGTGGTTTCAGCCAAATCCCAAGGCTGCCAATGTTGTAGGTTGACTGCTCCTGAGTTCCTCTGGAGGTGTTTGTGTTTAAAAAAGCACTGAAAACATTCTGCCGCTGTGAAAAATCACTTCAAAGCTGCATTTCAGTGTTGACTACGGCAAGATACGTCTTAAAGAAAACACTTTCTTTCTGTGATGGATCTTGGTAGAGGTGCATCCAAAGAAGACAGAAGAGGCAATATGTATGAAAATGAGCAGAGCAATGTTCCAGGAGTTTCAATACCAACAGAGGGGAAGTTGTAAAATACTGCCCTCTGAATATTATTGCTCCGGGATGCATCACTCGTCATAGCTGCCAGCAAGACTCGCAGAATTAAAGGCTTGTCGACCCGCAGCAGGAAGATCAACAACAATACAAACATACACTGAGACGCAGACGGATACATGTTCACTGTGACTCAAACACATGAGTAGTCACATGTATAAAAAAAGGAGCATGCATATGGCATCAGAAACTGGCGTGACGCCATTGACTGGTAAATCCCACCGATTCCAATTCAAATGCAAATCTTTGTTAAATCTAAAAAAGAGATACAAAAATGTGAGTTTCTATCCACTTGCGAATATTAGGAGTTTATTCATTGAGATACAGCTGCTGGTCTGAACTCTCCTATAAAGTTTCATGAAGCCATCACAGAAAACAACATTACTTTTATAAAAGAGTGCCAGTCAATCTTTGTAGGTGACCTATCATGCAAAATGTACTTTTGTACGTCTTTTATACATGAATATGTGTCCCCCCGGTGTTCCAGGGAATGTGGACTTGTACGTCGTCTTCCTGAGAAATTTTCATTCTCGTGTGGGACGTACATGACTATATGTGGTACTTTCGATGTTCGTCCTCTGCCTGGAGAAAGGTTGGTTCATCTCATGTGTGATGTGATGACTATACGTCCGGGCACTTGTAGTCGGTCCTCTCCTAATATTTCTGTCCTGTGATGTCTTTGGTCACTTATATGTTGGGACTGAGTCGGTCTTTCCGTGAGAAATTCATGTGTGTGATGTATACTATTGTGACTCGTGAGTCGTCCTTCTCCGTGGAGAAATGGTCATCTCTGGATGTAGACTAATGTGTGGACTTGATCGTCCTCTCCTGAAAATTTCATCTCTGTGTTGTATGAGCTGACCATTGGTGGACGGTGTAAGTGCGGTCCTCTCCTGAGAACGTTTCAGTCTCTGCACATCCCTGTATGACTATATGGTGTACATGTAGTCGAAAAATAACAAATCTTTATAAGTTCATGTCTAGTACGTAAATCGTAAGAGTAAACGAGTTAAATTGTGACAGAAACGGTACTCTCCTGACGTAAGACACTCATGTCTGTGTGTCCGATCGTATGACTATGATTCTGTCGCAGGAGGTCACGAAAGGTTGCCCGGTTACAGGCACCCGACAGAGGAGGACTAACCACCTCAACCGGGTTAATCGGCTCGCGGAATGAAGACACTGCAGTATCTCCACAAGTTTAGACCTAGTCAGACTTAGTCTAGGCAACGTCGGGGAAAAATTCTCCTAACTCATACCTCCTTGTCTCTCCTCCCAACACAAAAAGACTGT